CAAAATCGTATTTAAAGGAAAAAGCTGACAAACTTTGTACTTAGTAAAAGTTATATTTCTTTTCAAGCGACACTGTCAAGAAAATGAAGCCATAGCTGAGAAAATATCAGCACAGCATGTGCCGGATCCATAAATCTAGATTTAACCAGACAAATGGACCGCCACTAAAAAGCAAAACTACCTAAATAACTCCTCAAATAAGCACAGGTGACGAGGAAGCGATACACGCAATCATCAGTCCTGGGGAAACACTAGCAGACCCACAAGAAACCACTGCCTACAAGTCAGAAGGGTTCAAACAAAGACAACACACCAAAAGCTCACTGCACCAGGGTGTGCAAGCACACACAGCAACTGCCACTCCGCTACATCTGGTCAGAGTGGAAAATAGGATAGCTACCTTAACAGTCTGGTAGTTTTGCAACATAAAATAGCATAGGCAGGACATCAGACCGTATACCCCTCGGTCTTCACTGGAGAATAGTAAAAGCACGCATTTACAAAACAGCTGCATGCGAATATTCAAATGGCCTGCTGTGCAGTTGCTAACAAAGTCCATCAAAAGGTGAGTATCTACAAAATTCGTATATTTACACAGTGGACTGTTTATACAGCATCAAACACAGAAAGCTACTGACAAATACCTCAGGATGCGTGAAAATAATTATTCTGAGAAAAAGCACAAATATATACAGCATTAATTACAAAGTATATACAAAATTATTAGTTATATATAAGTCTAAAAAAGAGGAGAAAAATCTTGCTCCTGATCAGCTATCCAGGGATAAGCAAAGGGAGGAAGAAGAAATCTATTACAAGGAACAAGTCCTTCTCACGACCATGTTTATCATCTTTAGTGTGAGGACAAGACCACAGCATGTCAGTAATTAGAGTATTTCCACAAGTGTGGTTTATGAAGCCTCAATAAAATTGCAATAAACCTGTAAAACAAAGTATTTACTGGATAATGCTTCTGAAATATTAGCTATCATAATTACTAATGTATGAAAGAAAAAGTTAAGAAGAATCTGGACTCCTCGCTCAAAGAGAGGCATGTTTCTGACCTTATCTCCAGCTTCGAGCTCCCTGAGACATAAAATCTCCTTACTCCCCTTCATAGAGAATCCTTAGTCACAAAAACAGAAGAAAAACAAATGACTGTAATGAGGAAGAACTGTAGAACGTGAGTGGTACAACATTACCAGAAAGCAGTTTGCTATCAGCAGTCGCCTGGATCAATCTTAAATCACCAGAGATGCCCAAGACATGGAAGCAATAACTTGATGTTAATAAAGATTCACTGAAATCACGCATGGTGGTGCACACCTTTGAATCCAGCACAGGCAGGCAGGTATTTGAGTTCAAGGCCACCCTGGCCAACAAAGTTCTAGGCCAACCTGAACTACACAGAGCAATCCTATCTTGGAAAACAAAAAGCAAAACAGAAAGATTTACTGAATAATTCCAAGTGTCAGGCATCCACTAAACACTAAACAATTCTACAAAAAAAAAAAAAAAAAAAATGAGGCAAAATACTGTTTTCCACCTATGGGCACACACCTCATCACAGAGTCTAAGCTAATCCTGGCTGCCAGAAGTGAACAGGAGTGTCCCTTGCCACAAAAATCACCTACGCTGCTTCCACACACTGAATGGGTTTACGTACCTTTCCCATACACAGAAGGGACATTACCTGCATCACTTGGTACCCTCTTCCCCTACAGCTGTCTCATGATTATGTTGTAACAACTGAATCAAGCTACAAATGGCAGACTTTCATCCAGAGATATTTTATAAATTATTACACTTTCTTTAAAAAATAATTCTATTAGCTTAGAGATCACTAAAATGGAATCCTTAAAATATATCACCCTATTTCTGCTTTTACTCAATTTTATAATTAATTTAGGACATCTAATAGAGCGCAGCTTTACATATTGAAACATTCTTTACGGGAAAAAGAGGCCTAGTTGATAATTTAGTACCTATCATTTCTTTTTAAGGCAAGTTCCCTTCTCACAAAGAAGACACTAAGAATTCATTTTGCTGCTTGTGAAACAGGTAAGAAATCAAATGTACATTTCCTGTGATTTATCCTGAATTATCTTTGATATTAAAAAGTATAAAACCTCTTAATAACCAATGTTACTATTTGCTTTGACTACCCAATGACATTTAGTCAGCTGCTACAGTATACACACAGTCACAGGTGACTTTATTTCCCACACGAGACACTGCTTTGTGGCGCTGTCAAATACGGATATAGATACAGAGGAATAAAGACTCAGATCTTTATCCTTGTGCCACTGACATTCTAAAGGGGCGAGACTGACAACAAGAGCAATACAGATACAGTGTGGTCAGTTTTGAAAAAGTTAACAAAACAAGGTAAAGAGTTAGGAGGCAGGGACTCCAGGGAGTGTGTTGGAGGAGAAGAGGAGGGTGGTGGCTGCCCCTTTGGTCTTCACACATCTTTAATGAACAGAGGATAATGTATAAATTAATGTGGAATTAACAGATTTTATTCATCTGATTAATGGGGAAGATGCATCACAGATGGGAAATATGAAAGTGAAGTTAATGCTCTCTGTGTCTGCTAAGGACTAAAAGAATAAACACAAAGAACACAGCAGTTGTCAGTATCTTTGTCACCAGATGATCCCACCAAAATCAATACTCCTGCTTTCACTGCCAATGGGGACGTGGTTCTTAAAGCAAACAAAACAAAACCCCACACCACTAAGTTTCACATACGGTCCAGAACACTTAGCATGTATCACTCCCAGAATTAAGTCAGCAATCTGAAATGAATTCTGACGGGCAAAACTAGATACAAGTCAATATCAGGCAATTATCTCACACATGAAAACCAGACAAAGCCAGATGAGAAAAATGAAAAATGAGAAAACTAGTTTTCTAAAGCAGTGGCCACAAAATGCTGTGAAATAATCCTTCTGTACACTGTAAATATGTATTGTTCTCAGTGTTAATAAAAAGCTGATTGGCTGATGGTTAGGCAAGGTTTTAGGGGCAGAGAGAATGCTGGAAGGAGGGTGGAGCCAGAGGAGTCGCCATCCAGACATGAAGAAATAGGAGGTGCAAGATGAAAGAGAGGTAAGGCCATGTGGCAGGATGTAGATTAATATAAATGGGTTAATTTAAGTTGTAAGAGTTAGCTAGTAACAAGTCTGAGCTATTGGCATTTATAATTAATAAATTTCCATGTGGTAATTTGGGAATGACTGCTGAGACACTCTGCCTACAATAAAATCCTAGATTTTATTATTGTTTTGGTTTTGTTTTGCTTTTGAGACAAAGTTTCTTTGTGTATCCCTGTCTTGGAACTTGATCTATAGACCAATTGATCTTGAACTCAAGAGATCACCTGTGGTTAAAGGTGTGCAACACCATTGCCCGACTAAAATGCTACATTTTATTTTATTTTACTGGGGGTTTCTCAAGATAAAGTTCTCTGTGTAGCTTTGGAGCCTGTCCTGGCACTCAATCTGTAAACCAGACTGGCCTCAGACTCAGAGATCTGCCTGCCTCCGCCTCCTGAGTGCTAGGATTAAAGGCCTGTGCCAACATGCCAAGCTAAAATCCTAGATTTTAACAAAATTTCTCAAAACTATTCTAACATATACAGATAAGTATTTGAACATACTATTTTTAAACCATTTTTTTTAAAAGTAGAAGAACAGTGGGTAATTTTATTGTTCTGTTAAAGTCATGTAATAAATTGCTACTCAAATGGGTCTAAAGCTCAAGGCTCTTTCAAAGTTTGAGAATTACATAGGAATCAAAGGCCAGTCATCAAGAGACTCTTTTGAGGAATTTCTTTAAAAGATTCCTGATATGATCTGTCCCATTGTTTGCCAATGCTTTAAAAACTCCACATCCCCCTTATTTCAAACTCTTTGTAGGAGGGAGGCCACTAGTTAGTTCCCAGCTGCTTAGCCCCGAAATAATCATACAGAAACCATATTAATTAAATCACTGCTTGGCCCATTAGCTCTACCTTCTTATTGGCTAACTTTTTTTTTTGTTTGTTTTTTTTCAAGACAGGGTTTACTCTGTAGCTTTGGAGATAACTCTTACATATTAATTTAACCTATCTCCATTAATCTGTGTATCGCCACATGGCTGTGGCTTACTGGGTGAAGGTCCCAGAGTCTGTCTCTGGTGGTGGCTCCATGACTTCTCTCTGACTCCCTTTCTCCCAGCATTCCATTTAGTTTTCCCCACCTAGTTCTGTTCTTCCCTGCCACAGGCTCAAAGCAGTTCTTTATTTATTAACCAATAAAAGCAACACATAGACAGAAGAACCTCCCACACCAACCCTCAAACCTGTCTCCTTTAATTTCCACTTACTTGTCTTATTCTTTTCCTACAATAACCAAGTCAGGTCTCTTCTCTACTGCTAACCGTGATGGCAAACTGAAGACACCCACTCTGGATTCTCACAGTTCAGGTGAAATTCCCCAGGCCTTCATCTATTTCCCCGTAAGAGCACCTGCGTCTGCAAGTCTCACTCAAACCTCATCCACGGTTCTAAGTCGTGCAACTTCTTTATGCATGAAAATTCTCTTGTAAAAGTGCTTGAACTCAACAACTAATTCCTCTTGATGAGGCCCCAGCATGTATCTTGTTCATCTTTTGTGTGTGAAAATACTTTTTGGAACCTAAAGTTCTCCAAAGTAAAAGCAATTGGTCATTGTTGACATTTATTTTTATTTATTTCTATAGAACTGGGCCATAATATGCACTGCGTAGAAATAAACAAAACTATAGAAATGATTATTTAGCATCTATGTGTAAAGACCATGTGGTATTCCTGTATATCACACAGTTTTCTAGACTTCTCTAGATGACAGAACTCTAACTTGTGGGCTAGGACCGGGAGGGCTGCAGAGGCCTCAGTCACCTCGGGGACTTCAGACCAAGGCCTAAGATTTCACTCAGTCTTGCTTGCTAAAAAAGACACTTTTAAATTATCTCACCTGTAATCCTGGAATAAATCGAGTGTCCTTTTCAACCACCAGAAGTTCCGCAACATTGGCATTGAGAATGGATCTTGTGATTCCCCCAGGCCCGGGGCCCACTTCATAAACATAAACATCTTCTAGACTGCCAGCTTTCCTGACGATTTTGTCTAAAAAGAAAAGAGTTCACTTTATTATCACGGCAACTTTCCTAAGAATATCCAACAGTTACTATTAATTATTTAGCTCTCACTCTGAACCAACACATAACAATTTTCTACATCACTGTACTGTGACCAGTATTCCGACAATATTGTATTTTCTTTCTCCACCCAACCAATCAGTTCCTAAGACTGGCTAGATGACCAGGCGGCACTTCACTATAGCCCTGCGACATCAAATAGCTGATTATTTTCACATTCATCCTCCCATTGTCATCAGCAAAAATCCAAAAGGAGGATGCAGACATCCCTGTTTTCCCCCAGAGTTATTTGGAGGTCAGGATGACAATCACAACCAATGCCGACTAGACTCTGAAATTTGAATTCTTGATTGTTTCCGGAAAAAGGTTTGGATTTACAACTTGAAATTTTAAGGCCTGCAACACACATGTTGAGAAGAAACTACTATTGCTTCAGTTTGTCAAGTTAGCAGAAGCTAAGACATCACAGGACAGGGTAGACTAAGAGTTCACTGCAACTCATCACTCTGTGAAACACAATGGAGCGCCCTGGACACTGGAAATTTTACCACTGAAAACACGCCACTGCATACGGACACTGCACAGCTCCAGGATGGATACTGATGATCAATTTAGGTAAACTTAAAAGCAAAATGTTGCTTACCCACTACCAAATAAGTCCAGAAAGGGAATCAGCCAGCACCCCCCAACCGGCTGTTTTGGGTGACATATTCACATTCTCTTACAATTCTATTATTATCTGAACTACACATCAAACATCATGAAGAAAAGCAAATGGCAGAGAGGAATTCCATCCCAGGTGTGGCTTCCAAAATCAATCCTTGTTTTGTTACAGATTACCAATTGTTCTCTCAAAGGGATGGAGAATAATTTATTCAGAGGGAGAACTACGAACTTCATATTCTGTTTTAAAACGGGAAAGCAGCAACAGGTGGGGCGGTGGTTTCATTCCGAAGCCCCACAGGAACACTTAAATACACCCAGACGCCAAAGATGCAGCGTCAAATCCCTAAGTCTGAGTTTCAAACTCGCTCCACCCGAGCTCACCAGAACAAGTACCTTTATCTCCTTTCACTTCGGTTCCCACAAAAAGGAGTGGATAAAGGAACCCTAGAACCTGGAACTTACTCCGGGGGAGGCACGAGAGAGAACGCAAATTAAATGGCTGGGGGAGTAATCAATCTGACAGAGGCTTGGGGTCCCTACGGAGCAGCCATTAACTGAGTGAGCACGGTGGCACGTGCTTATGATTTAAGCATTTGGCAGGTGAGGGCAAGATGATTAGCAAGGCAAAGTCACGTGCTGCAGCTTAGACACAGGAGGCTGTCTTAAAAAACAAAACAAACAAAAAAACAAACCAATTGTATTTTCAGCAGAGAATGGTGCTTTCTATTTACTATTTGCTCATGGCTGGGAGAGGATAGTATTAGCTATCACTGGAACCAAAGAATCTAACAGAGGGTGATCTTAGGTTCTTGTTGACCTTTTAATCAAATATAGGCTGAGAAAACTTAAGGGGGTTAACGGTTTTGCCTACATTAATTTAATATTGTTACAGGCAGAAGAAAGGCTCCAAGTTCGAGAAAGAAACTACTTATTTATGCCTTGTGGTCCATGCATCATGTAATCAAAATTGTTTTGGGGGGGTGTCCCTTTTAAACGTAGGGAGAGGGGTAAAATCTTAGTACTCCGTCAATTAGTGCCCTTATTTGCAACCACATTCTCACAATCACACCTTGCAGAAAGCATCACTAACATGTGGAGGTAGGGAAATCAACAAACACCTGTGAAAACTCAACAAAACTTGGGTGTCAGACTGGTGACCTTCACCCTATGTAAATTTCACCGTATAAAAGTGACTTTTAAGAGGCACGAAGAGGTCAATTTACTAAACTGCAAACTCAAGGCAGTTGCAGTATCATAGTCAAGCGTTGGCACAAGGTAGCTGTTTGCACTGTTTGCTTAGTATGCATTTACAGAGCGAACATCCATTCCCTAGAGGGAGTCTCAGACTCAAGAAGTGAACATGTATCCTATTCACTATTTCGGATTACGGTTTTGAAATAGGGTCTGTCTCTAACTGGCGGCAATCCTCCTGCCTCTGTTCCGCAAGTGCTGAGAAACTAGCTGGCGCACAGTTATGACGGACAGACTGGGAACAGGGTAAAGAGAAACACTAAATTAAATCCCGCTCAGTATAAAGAGCGCGGGAAGCAACTCCGACAGGTAGAGCCGTCCACCGCGGAGCGTCGCCTCGGCCCGAGGCTTCACGTCGCGCTCCCGGGTTCCAGGAGCAGCGAGCTCCGAGCGGTCGGGGGAGCGCTTGACTGATAGCCGCCCGTCCAGCCCGGGTCCATCACCCGCCCGCGCCCCTCGGAATCCCCGGGCGAAATGACGACTCCGCCACCTGTCAGCCTCAAGTCCAGGAGGAAATTCTGGGAGAGCTGCTTCACCGCTCGCAGTCCGAACAACTTAATGATCTCCCGAATGGTGGGCAACGGGGGAAGGCGGAAAGAGCCGAGCTTCCCCGCGGAAGCCATGAGGCCGACACGCGCAGGCCGGGCCCCCGTGCAGCGGCTTGAAGGTTCCACCCCGGGGGAAGGCGGGCCTGGAGACGATGGCCCGCCTCCAAGGCCGTCTTATTGGTTGGAGAAACCTACCGGAAATGACGAATACTAACAGGAAGTCTGTCAGTACCGGGAGACTACGACCGCGTCCGGCCGAGAGCGGTGCAGGCTGGGTGCGGAGAGGGGCGGGGTCGGAGGGTGGGCGTGTCTGATGGGCGTGGCCTTGTAGCCCTGCCTCTGGGAGGCTCCATAGGCCTTTCAAGGGCTAGACGGGAAAGATGGTGAATTGTTTCCTGTTGGCAGTTTATTTTTATTTCCTCACGCCTCTTCTCTCAGTCTCAGTGTTTTCTTCTATTAAGTAGCTCAAAATGTGAGTGCCTCATAGAGTGGCCACCCTGTGTATGATGCATGGCATGGCGTGAGGTCAGCTTGCTGTCAGCTGCAGCCAGTTACCATAGCAATGATTTGTCAGCTGAAGGAGTTTCACCCGGGTACCTGATCTCATCCAGGTTTGTGGGGAGCGCTAGTCACTAGAATTCCGACTCTTCTGACCCACCAAGCTGAGGAGAGACCTCACCTTTTACAAAATTAGTGTGTATTCATTTTACAAAGTTATGGGCTTGTTTGTGACTTTTCCCACATATGCCCATAACTACCATGATCATACTTACTCCCTCTATAACCATCAGTTTTCCCCCGCTCCATTGTCTTGTCCACTCATAATAGTTCTTTTACTTCCAACTTTTTCCCCTTCCTATATGTAGTAGGAAAAAATATCTTGCATTATTCTTGTCTGAATTTGGCTTATTTTCCTGAAGATGTTAACTTGCATCCAGCCATAGCATGCCTCAGAATTTAGAGACCTGTAGGCTCTTTGAATAGGTAAGCCAGCTGAAAACCGAATTTAGGGATGAGACTTTTGAACAAACAGCTGAATGTCCACCAGATAATAGCACCCCAGCTTTAATCAATAGCAGGAGACCAACTAACGCAAGTAAAGCAAAACACCTGGCTATAATCAACTAGATTGTCTCTAGATCACTTTTCTTTTCTTGTCATAAACAATGCCTGACATTTTGTGTTCAGGGTTCTTTGAAAGAATTCCAAGGGCTGTCTAGTTGTACAATTGTGAATAAAAACCATTTTAGATCTTTAAATATGCCATAATTTTGTCTCTTGACTTAAGAACTTTCAACTTTGCGAAGTGTTTCGATATTATTTGTTAGTGCTGTTTTATATTCCTCAAAAAATTTTTCTCAGTAGTAGCTTTGTGAAACAGGACACATATTGCTAACCTTAGTTTAAGGCAGGTTCGAGAAAGCCTGGTGAGGCCAGGAAAATTCACAAACCTAGAAGATCACGGATTCCAGGTGTAGTTTACATGTATGATGGCTGCCGTTTTTAAGCAATGCCCGCACAGTCAGCTTCAGGATCACTCTCTGTTTAGCCTTTGGAGAGTTCCTAAGGCTCTTTCGTGCTGCAAGCTTTGCAGTATTTGAAAAAATGAACCACAAAGGGATGGCATATAAAAAACCTCAACTCAAGAAGTGTCTGGCTTCCCAACGGAACGCTTTAGAATCATTCTCCCAATTGTTATAATACCCCAAGTGGATAGATTTTATTATGACATAGGTTGGGTGAGACAGAATTGCTCAGCAGCTTCTCCACACTTCCAAGTGGAAATGGAAGGCTTTCTCATTAGGTGGGAAAGGCAATGGGGAAAGACCATTCGGGCTTACATCCAAGTACAGAGAGAAGACAAATTAAGACTTCTGTCCTCTCTGACATCTGGGGAATCAGGAAAGAAATGGAAACTTCAGATCTTTTTTTTATGCGTGGGAGAATTTTACTCCCTCTTCTACTCGTAAGATGTGTTAATTACAACTGACTCACATGCTGTTTATATTTCTGGTAGTTACTTAAAAAAGAGGAGAAAAGCTATTGGGGAACCAAACCACTGTGGGCCTGATGAAGAAGTGGAAAGTCCATGCGCCCACTTCTGCTATTGCTAGATCAGCAGGAACAAGGGGATGACTGGCAACACCTCCTTACTTTAGAAAACAAGGACATGGCAGGAGTTACCCAAAGCGTCGTGAAAAACCTAAATATTTGATTCAGTGATCTATTCCTCATGAAACACTATACCTAGAAGGCATACATTCAGTTTATTTTTTTTTTAAATTCTGTGTTCCTGTGGCAATGAGGTTGTTGTCTCTGTCCAACTGTGAAGAAATACTGGCAAGTACAGTCATTTGTCCTACCCAGAGCCACACAGCAATATATCTAGAGAAGACAACCTGAGGTGTCCCGGTTCCAAGTTTCGTGGCCACACCCTTCAAGCGCTTTATCAACTGAAATTATTTTAAGTTGGAGAGGGAGGGGGAGGCGGAGGGGGAGTGGGAGGGGAATGGGAGGAGGGGAGGAGGTGGAAATTTTTAATAAATAATTAAATAGAAAGAAAACAAAAAAAATCCCACTGTGCCTCAAAAAATTATTTTAAGTTAATCAACACGTTCATTTTATGCTATTTGAATATATAGAAATATGAATCTAGGTATAGCTTTAAATCTACAGTTTTCATATGACTGCTTAAAACACAATATAAACATATACAAACCTACAAAATAACTGTGCATGGATTTATTACTTTATAACAAAGAATGATATAGAAATCACTACTCTTTATGTTGTCTGGATTCTTTTATTTCCAGTTCAACTCATTCGTACTACAGTATACCATATATAGTAAAATGTTCTTATAAGTTTTCTGGATTAAAACAAATCTATTTCTTTATCACCCGGGAGAACATGGGAGGCACATATTGTGTCGGTTTCTGCTTTCATTAGCTTGGGAAACAACTGAAGTTGAATTATTTGGCACTAAGGTAAGGCTGTCAGAAATACACATGCTGTATGTCAGTCACAAGAAGGATGTTCAGATGACCTAAGATTTATCATATGAACGTTTTAAAGTAGTGATTTCAACCTAAAAAAAAATCACATGGTCATAAACAGCATTTTTGATTCCTGAGAATTTGTCCCTAGATCTAACTAGGGACTCCACCACACCGTCTTCAGTAATCTTCATTTGTGCGGTGATGGCCCAGTTACAAATCTCTGTCCCAGGCCACTTCATCAGCTCTCACTTAAATTCTTTGTTAAGTTTCCCAAAGACATCCAGTTTTTGCCCCCTTGCTATTAAGTGCTGGAGTTGAATCTAGAATTCAAATCTTTTGATTTTTACTTTTTTTTTATTAACCTCACATTAAATAATTATTGAGTAAAATAAAAAAAATCTGTCTTTGGAAAGTCTTCCAAGTTTTTAATAATTCTTGAGTTCTAGTTTGTAGCATCATAAATATCTGATCTTAAGCCTTTGAATTTCAGAAAATTATGCATAGCTCTCTGCAAAAGCCTGTGAAATCAGCAGGGGGTGTTTTAGTAGTATATTATCCCTTAAAAGAGAGCGATGCAGTTTCATCAGTTTTGAAGCTTTGAAGTAGCTGCTTCATCTAGATACAGATTTTAATATGCTAAAATATTATAATTAAAACAGAAGTCGCTAGCCCCACCTATCTGTGAAAAGGAAGCACTACAGTGATTCATACTAAAGGAGAATGTGGACTTGTGATTTGCATGAATCCCAGAATAGCAATATAGGAAACTTATTATTTTAGTTATCTATTTTAATGAAAATGCATGTGACTTTATTGATATTGGTAATTTAGTGTCTGTGGGAAAAATGCTAATTTTAGCAGATTGTCATTTTGTAGTTCCCTAGAAGACACTTGAAAGCCGCAAAGACCCATATCTTCCTGTCACGTGGGAATTTTCAGAGAAAATTAAATGCGATTTGGAATCACCAAATTGGACTTTATAAAATGTCTATTTTGCTATGTGAAGTGTTCTTTTCGGATAGTATTTTATTATTCTATAATATGACTCAATGCTCTGGGTAAACATTAAGGGCTAGACTTACCACACATTGAATTTAAAAAAAAAAATGGCAGTTTGATGCCCATTGTCCTCAAAGGGAGCTGTGTGCTACCATGAGGGAAGAAGAAATATGATAATACTGAGAGGACTGGGCTAGAAAGCAGGGCACCCTCGGTGAGTAGCACAGGCTCTTTCCCCGAGGGACTAGTGCCACAGGACACTGTTTGCAAAAAGATGGTGTTTATCACTATTCTAGGCAGTATTTGGAAGCTTGCTTATTGACCTCAAAGATCTGTGAAATATTGTCACGTACCCTAACAAAGGGACAAAAGTGGGCAGCCCTTTTAACTAAGGATGACTAGGAAGACTCGGAGAACACGAGCAGCTTGTTTTTCTCACAACAAAGCAAATCTTATCTGGATGAACAATAAACCAGCACCGGATACAGGCATTGTAAGGATCAGTCTTTATTATCCTTGAAACTCAACATTTTATTGACAAAAATCTTAGGAATGAATAAAATGATGACTATGAATGTATTGGCAATGAAGATGTACCGTCTCTTTGAAATGTGATGTGGAGGCCATTGCTGCATGACTAGGAGTCTGGGTTCACTAGTTCAGCTCCTGCTCCCTATCTGGTAGGGGTATGTGAGCAGGCTAGGAAATAAGACCACATCTATTCCTTTATCTCTGTCTCAGGTTCCTTATTCTTGCTCTTTCTACCTCTATATTCAGACCAAAATGTGTGTATTACACCTTAGGTTAACTCAGTACCCGCTGGGAAACCACTGACTTTTTTTTTCCATCCAACTAATGAGTGGTGTGTATAGGTGGAAAAAGGATGGGGACCTTTGCTTGACTTAATTCTTTAAAATTACATTGCGTGTGTGCATGTATATGTGTGTATGTAAGTATATGTGTACATGTGTCCATATACATACTGTCCTTATTACTCTGCTCTGCTACACTTTCTTTTCCTTAATTATCCCCAAATCATCACTCTCTTCACTAGTCTCCTCTGTCCAATTCGAGTCATCCTTCCCGTATTGAATTTCAGTTGCTTGGGTAAATAACATAGAAAACACGTTCTGTTGGC